GCTATTTTAATAAATCAGATTACACTTTGGGCCAGTCAGTTTTCCATCTTAAATAGGAATAAACAGTGCATTTAACCCTGGTCTGCTGACTCATGAATTTGTGTCATTAGTTGCAGTAGGTTGAGTAATGGCAGAATAACGGTAAACAGTTGCGTGGGCACTTAATTTGTGTCGAGTGTGGTTCTGAGTGAGTGAGGTAGGGGCACGTACCCAGAGAAATAAAGTAATTTGCTCAGTGTCACATAGCTAATAAAGGCTTATGCTATGATTCAAATCAGCATTCCTGAGTTTATGTACAAATCTGTGTAAGTAATTGGCAGCTGGTAAAGGCTTAAAATGATTAACATTTCAAATATGCAGGTTTTTTCAGTCCATGAACTCTATTCAAATCTCTGTAGCCCTCCTGCATAATTGTTTTCTGCATCCATCACATTTATCTTACGCCCAAGTAAATTTTGTTGTTATGTCCTTAGGTCATAGATAAATAGGAACCCTGTTGTGGAGAGCATTGTCCTTTGCTCTGGTTTCCCCCCTAGAGCTCTTGTCTATTCATTGGTTGTATAGGGAATATTTGATGCAGTAATAGAGATTAATTTACATGCAAGAAGTTTTAAATGACTATTTCTGTGATTGACTGCTTTTGACCACCTCCCTCCTCCTCAAGTTTAATAGTTGTGTCTGAGGCTTCATTATTGCTTTTTATTTTTATTTTTATTTTTATTTTTATTTTTATTTTTGGTGGATTCTAGGGCTTTTTCCCCCCCTGCTTCCATTTTGTGTTTAGTAATATTAATGTTTCTACTGGAGCGTGTGATTTAAATTGTACTTTACTAATGAGGAGAATAGTGTTTTCTTTAGTTTCAACATTTTTACTTGATATCATCTACAAACATTTTTCACAACTTAAGAAATGTGGCTGTCAAATTTTAGGAAGTGTGTGTGGTAAAATTTTAAATCAGTAACATCCTCATGTTTTGTAACCTAAATTATGGTTATTAAAGACTGGTTGTAAAATTTTGTTTATGAAAGCCGAATATAATAGGTTCTTATGAATCATTGGCAGGCAAACCATTTCTAACTCTGGCAGTATTTTTACTGTCCTCTATTGAGAAAATTGATATTTAAAGTGAGTTTTTAATTTATTTCAGAGCTCCTTACTGTTCCTGCACAGCACCATACATTTAATTCATGTTAGAATTCTAGTCAATGAAGAAAAAGGGGACATAATTTAGCTGGTGGATTAACATCAAAACTTGGTATAGCAGAGGCAGCAGAGTTTTAGAATCTGGCAAATCCTGATTCTAATCCTGACTCCAGTGTTTCCTTCCTGAGTGGCCCCGGGCCCGTGCATGGCCTCACCAGGCCTGCACTGGTCCACTTGTTCAGAGAGAGTGACAGTGAAACACCCCAGTACTGTGTGCTATAAATGACATCATACATGCCAAGCATCTAGAGTGGGCTTTGACTAGGCTTTTATTTTCTTTTCCCTCTTAATCTATTTTTACAGTTTATTTTAGAAAAAGTGGGGTCCCACCCACATGCATGATCTGGTCATGTTGCAGAACCTCTCTCTCCTTTGCTGCCAAGTGCTTGGAATTACCCAGTCCCTAATCTCTAGAGGGTTTCTCGCGCCAGCGTACCTTTGCAATGAGATGGGTTAAAAGTGGCATTTTTTTATTACGGAAATTCCCAAACACACAGTATTGTCCAAGGAATAGTGGAGGGAATTCCTGCATCTCTTCCATTGAGGAGGAAGCTAAATTAACATTTAGCGTTTTTGAAAAATTGCTAATGTTTTATCTCAATTGCTTTATCTTAATTTTCTCAAAGAACTAACTTTTGGTTTCGTGGATTTTTTTTCACTACTGTTTTCATGCTTTAAAAAAATCCTCATCTGAGGATATGTTTATTGATTTTAGAGAGAGGATCATCAATGTGAGAGAGAAACATCGATAGATTGCCTCCATACGTGCCCCCACTGGGGATCCAACCGGCAACCCAGGCATGTGCCCTGAACTGGGATCAAACTCGCAACCTTTTGCTGTAGGGGATGACTTGCCAACCAGCTGAACTACCCAGCCAGGGCTGTTTTTATGCTTTTTATTCTACTGATTATGGCTTATATATTGATTATTCCTTCTGTTAACTTTGGGTTACATTCGCTCTTCTAGTTTTTAAGGTCAAAACTTGAGGACATTGATTTGAGATCTTCTTTTCTAATAAAGGCATTTAGTGCTCTACATTTTCCTCTGAGTTCTGCTGTAGCAGCATTTCACAGATTCTGCTGTATTATATTTTCATTTTCATGTAGTGTAAAATCTTTATTATTTCCTTTAGATTTCTTTTTTATCCCATGGGTTATTTTGAAGTGTGTTAGTCTCCTCCCAGTTTGGGCATATTCTCTTAGTGGTTTCTAATTTAATTTCCTTGTCATCTGAAAATATGCTTTATGTGACTGGAATCTTTTAGTTTCTAGTGAGGCTTGTTTTATGGCCCAGTATGTGGTCTGTGTTGGTAAATTTTCCATGTACTTGAAAATACTATTTGCTGTTGAGTGTCCTGGAAATGTCAGTTATGTGAAGTGGGTGATATTGTATTCAACTCTTCCATATCCTTACTGCTACTCTGTTTGTTCTATTAATTTGGGGGAAAGGGAGTAAGTATTGAAGTCTTCACTGACTTAACATCTGCCTGTGTTATCATTTTGTGAACAAATTTCTTTTTACCACTGTTCCTTTTTTATGACTCTGTTAGAGGTGATTCTCAAATCTTTCTTTAGTCTTTTGAAAGTGTCACCATCAGGAGGCTGAGAAACTGGGGTCAGCCAAAAATATTATTTATATTAATACTTTATCTTTAATGGACTTTGCTTAAAATTCTTCTAGACTATTGTCTGTGATACAGTTCTGAACTTTTGATTCTCTCTTACAAATTGAACCTATTTTTTGCTTGGCAAGGAAAAGGAATCTTCTTTATTTTCAGCCAACAGTTCCCCCCAAACAGCCAAAAACAGGTTTAGAATTGTCTTCCCTAGAGCCTTATGAATAGTATAGGTAGAACTTTATAGTTTTCTTGGGTGCAGTGGAGGAATAGGAGTTGGAGAAGAAACCAGAGCAGTGAACTTAATGATTACTTAGCAGTCCATTCTTGTTCTCTCATGTTTGTAATATAATATAATTTTTATTTTTTTAAGAATAAAAGGAAAACTTACAGGAGACATTAGTGGTTTTTATTAAGTAGTATAGTGAGGTACAGATACAACAACCAGACCCCTAAGTCGTATTATCTTCGAGTGCTTGACCCTCTCTGGTGCTCTGCCTGATGGCCTGCGCAGGGTTCAGGGCCAGCACTGTTGTCATCCTGTGTCCTGTGCTGCCTGCTGATGAAGCAGCACAAGGAGGAGGGGTCCTTGTCTAGTCTGTGACTGTTCTCAGGATTCCTTGTGTGCTAGACCTTACTACAGGCCAATGGGGTATTGCTAATCCCAGGGAACTGGAACATTTTCTGAGAGTTACTGAAGTGTCCGTTTTCTCTGGGTGTTGGGTGGACCAGTATGGCCTGCCCTGATCCCGTCTGGCAGCATGAGTGCTCGTTACCGTTCTGTGAGAAGAGATCGAAAATGGTCAGAGGAGAGTTGTTTTCTGTAACAATCTGGGGGTTTGAATATGAGAATTCTGGAATATAAATTTGAAAAATGTATGTCAAATTTTCAAAATAAAAGTTAGGATAAGTGTTTAGGACTTTCCGTTTTTATATTTGTATAAAAATTATTATTATGTCCCTTGTTTAGTTGTCCTGTTTTTAGCCACAATATTCTTAGCTATCTTGTGGGTTCTTGAGAGAACTGGACTAAACTGGTAATTTCTGTGGTTCAACTTTCAAGGTCCCGTTGAGCAAAGGAACAGCTGTCCTCATGTGGCTATCACACTGAGCAGTGCTCCTGTATTTTTATTCACATGTACATACTTTGGCTGTTTGAGAATTTAAGTCTGAAACATACAATAGGGATAGAAGTTTGTTTTCTTTATGCATAATTACATTGTTTTTTAGATTTAGAGACTTTAAGGTTAGCAATAATATGCAGTTAAGTAGTAAATGGGTTTTCCTTTAAATGTTTTTAGTTCCTGAGTGTTAGAGAGAAACATCAATTTGCTGTTTCACTCATTGATTGCTTCTTGCGTTTGCCCTGATTAGAGATAGAACTGCAACCTTGGTGTATGGGGTCGATGCTCTAACCAACTGAGCAGCCCATCCAGGGCATAAATGGCTTTCAGTTGAGCCGTCAAGTGTTCTCTGTGTACTGACTGTAAACAGTCCTCCAGTTGTTACACAGGGAGTAACAGTTTCTCACTGGCGAATAAACAGAGCATGGACTTTGGAGTCAGAGCCAGTTTCTAGCTCTAAATACTTACTCTCAGACTGCCCACTTCATCAGTGTAGGAATAACACCATCTACTCAGTGTTTCCTAAATACTTTGTGTTATGAAACGTGACTTGTTCTTTGGTGAAATGGTTTCATTAGCAAATACGCCTGGAATTTGCAGCATGTTCTCCTCTCAGAGGTTTTCCCTGTGAGTGAAGACATTGGGCCCTGAAAACCACTCTGGTCAAGAAATCTGCTTTGCGTTAACTTCTCGTTTCCCCAAATGGAACTTTTTTCTTCCTTGCCCCTCCCCTGCTTTGCCTGTGAAACACCTGCAACATATTTCACTTTACTTCAGCTTCATGGAGCGTAGTTTTGAGAATGAAGTGCCTAGCAGAGTGCCCCTAATTTGTACTTGAACAATGCTAGTTTTGTTTTCTTTCCTTTTAGTGTTAAGTTAGTAAAAAGGCAATGGACATTTTTTTTCTGATGAAACATATTCTTGAAAAACATTGTATTATTAAATGTATTTTAATCTGATTTTATTATTGACAGCTTTCTTTAATGGCATCAAGAACTGACAGAGGAAGAGATTCTATTACTGTTTTTCTGAAATTAAAATTTTTTTTAATAAAAGGTGGCTATCATCCAGTGAAAATTGGAGACCTCTTCAATGGCCGATACCATGTTATTAGGAAGCTAGGATGGGGACACTTCTCTACTGTCTGGCTGTGCTGGGATATGCAGTAAGTGTTCCTTGTCATGTGTGCACATGACTCCTAGTCTAGTTCAACATCTTCATTTTACAACAAGGGATGGCTGAGGGGCACACCTGTGTCTTTTGTGCATCGTAACTGCCTAGCACAGGCCTGCCCTGCCATAGCTAGACATTTTCCCCCTTAGTTTGGAGTTCATTTTCCTGTTATCTTAAAATACTAACTTTCTTCTGCCTTTATATCTGAGGCTTATGCATTTAAATTACATCAGGATCATTTTTTCCCCAATAATTCATCCATACCAGAAAAACATTTAAATATAGAATAACATATTGGCCTTTCAAATCAGTGGTTTCTGACTGATTTTAAAGCTGTGACCTGTAACATAAAATACCATTGCTACCCAGTACAAACATATGTGTGTTTTGTGTGTGTGCATACTGAAACAAAAATGTTACAAGATATTACTTACCCTTACTATATGTGATGAACAACAGTTTCTAGTTTATTTTTATGAAGGAAAAAAGCAACACAAAACAAAAAGATTGGTTTGACACATTATCCTAGTGGTGAATTATTGCCTCACAATTTGAAAAGCACTATTATAATGGAAAGCTTATTAAATCTATTTATTGGATAGATTTCATTATGATTACTTCTGCTTATAATATTATTTAAATTTTGCATTTTTTTAAAGGGGGAAAAGATTTGTTGCAATGAAAGTTGTAAAGAGTGCCCAGCATTATACGGAGACAGCCTTGGATGAAATAAAATTGCTCAAATGTGTAAGTATTGCAAAACTATAAATGAAAGAAGACACATTAATGACTTAAAATTTTACAGAGGTATTTTTCTGGGTTTTACTAAATTGACATTGATTTTATGTTTTATAAGTTCAAATACTGAATCTTTTGTTTTAAAAACCATCTCACTTATATTAAAACTGTTTTGGCTGGTATAATGGAAATGACTTTCAGTCTTAAACATTTCTGTTCTTGATTCACTTTTCTTTCCATAGGTTCGAGAAAGTGATCCCAGTGACCCAAATAAAGACATGGTAGTACAGCTAATTGATGACTTCAAGATTTCAGGGATGAATGGAATACATATCCTTTCTGACAGTCCTATTGCTTCCTAATGGCTGCATTATACTGTAGTTTTTCTATAGGCTTTTGAAAAATGGGGATGTTTCAAGCTCTTGCTGTGTCACTCTCCACTTCAAGCCTCTAGTGTTGTCACGGAGGGTTGTAGAATGATAGGCCTAGAGTGCTCTGCGAGGGCCTTTTGGGGTATTTGGTGTAGTAACAGCTTATAAAGTTATTTTTACAGCACTTAACTTGATTTTCAGATAGAATTAATTACTAATCTTATTTTGTTAATTCGAGTGAAGTTTATTTTGGCAGAGGTAGATGAAAGCATACACCAGCACTTCTTTTTGCTTTAAACTTTTAAAAATTTGCACAGAAAGGCTAGGTATCATTCAGTAGCTGCAAAGAATTTCTTGAGTCAATAAAAGGAAAACTAGCTCTGCTAAGATCAACATGGCAAAGTCACACTCGATCCTGAGGAGTACCATCTTTCTGTTAGGTAAATATGGAAGTATGTTGGTTTTGTTTTGTTTTGTTTGTCTACTTGGGGAAGTTTGGTGAAACTAGTTACCAGAAAGGTGGCCGGTCCAGAGCTGGTCTGCCTTGGGCTGGCCTATAGTGTGTGGATTCTTGACTTTGTATAGAAAAGATTTTACAGTGTGAGTTCAGGTGATTTTGAGAGTATGTTTATTAAAGCTGGGGATAGTGAAACAAAGGAAGGATTTACAGTAGAAGCAACAAGAAGAGAGTCTGGTGGGGCCTCTTTGGCGCACTGGGAAGTGAAAAAAAAAGAGGCTTTGGAGACAGGATAGGGGTTGGCCCCATTGAGCTACCATGCACTGTCCATTGCTTCCCTGGTTCCAAGTCTCATGGGGACCCTCAGAGTTTAGGAGATGCAGGTCTGTGGGGGAAGAAAGGTGTGTGCTCTGTCCTTTGCTGGGAGGGAGTTTAGGGGGAGATCTTAGCAGAGGATCTCAATAGAATATTCATCACCCTTATGCTGATGTGCCAAAATGAGATTTATTCCCTTAACTTCATCTGTCCTTGTGTGTGCTGGGCAAATGGCAGTAATTGGATTTTTACTATCTACCTCTCTGAGTAAGGTGATTTAAGCTGTTAACCTTTGTTGGGGAAGAGATGTATAAACTATTTACTCTTATTGTCCTTGGTTACAGAAGATAGGATTTTGGGATTTACTGGAAGGCCCGTAAACTGCTTGGCCAGTTAACTACCTGTCTCATTTTCCTATCCCATTTGTCCCTGTTTACCAACCTGTCTCAAAGTGATACATTTTCTATACTTGTTATTAAATCTGACATAGGCCAGTCCTTAGTAGAAAGAGACCTTCATTGTTTTTCTTCAGAAATGTTTATAATGTAAAGTTCTTGACATGCATAAAATTAGAGAGGGTACTACAGTGAATTTCTGTAACTCTATCACCCAAATTCAGTAGTTATCATTGTCTGGCTATAGTCCTTTATATACCCTTTATCTCTTGTGAATTATTTCAAAACAAATCCTAGAAGTCATATTCTTTTATTTCAAAGATGCAAACTGACATTTGCATCTTTGAAAAACATACAGACTTAAAAAGATCACAAAACTCATCAAATAAAATAAAAGTAATTTCTTGGTATTATGTCATGTTTGATACAAAATTCCTGTGTAATGGAAAAAGGACTTTTTTAAAGACTTGCCCGAATCACATTCCAACAAACAAGGTTATTTTCCCCTCAGAATCATCTCTTCCTTGTAAGTCCACATCATCTTGCTTTAATTGTTTAAATTGTTCAATTTACTTTTTTAACTTTTTCATTAAAATAGTTTAATTTTCTCAAAATGAATTATCTTGCCGGAAATGAATGGTTTTTGAAAGATGAAGTTTCTTAGTGGTAATGTTAGTTCTTTTTGCTTTTAAAATAGAGAGGGCTTTGTTCCAACTCTAGGTCCTATTAGAAATGTGTCTAGTAAGAAGGTAGAACTAAAGGTGTCTTATGACCCTCCCCCCCCCTTTTTTTTTTTTTTTTGAGATTATCACTTTTGATTGGGTTACTGGTTGGTAAGTTTGCATTCTTGTTAGTTAGTGGGGGCGGGTGGGGTGCTCAGGAGGTGGTGATTAGGGGTTGTGGAAAGTGTTCTCTTCACCCTCCCTCTGCCTGGGGCATTGATAAAGGGCAGCCTCTGGTCAGTGACGGTGGAGTAATCCGGGATCAATAGGACTGAGCTGATAGCATAAATGGAAAGAAGAGATACTACATTTTATCCAGGTAGTATTGGTAGTGCTCTTTCCATATTTTCCTGTTGGATCCTCTAAGATAGCCTTTTATTTTCCTGAGGCAGGTGATACATCAGTCCCCCCATATCTGAGGTTTTTACCTGCATTCTGAAAATGTTAACTGGAAAATTCCTAAAGTAATTCATAAATTGGGCACCCTTCTGAGTAGTAGCATGGTAAAATCTCACCCTTTCTTGATCTATCCTGGAACTTGAATCATCCCTTTGTCTAGCATATCCCTGCTGTATATACTACTCGCCCCTTAGTTGCTAGCTGTCTTGTTTATCAGATTGACTGTGGTGATGTCATAGTGCTTGCATTCTATAATTGCCTAATGCCATGCCATTCACCTCAGCTCATCTCATCACATAGGCATTGTATTTCAATATTATATCATCACAAGAAGACCAAGTACAGCACATTAAGGTATTTTGAGAGAGACCAGATTCACATAACAGTTATTACAGTATATTATTACAATTGTTCTATGATATCATTAGTTATTGTAAATCTCTTATATTGCCTAACTTCTGTATTAAACATCATAGATATATATGTATAGGAAAAAGCATAGTACATATAGGATTTGGTACTGCATGTGGTTTCGGGCATCTACTGGGCGTCTTGGAACTTATTTCTATTGGATAAGGGAGGGCTACTATACCTTCATCTCTCAAGGTTCAGGAATATTGAGCCCTGTGACTGATGAGTGCCAGGGATGTGTCAAGAGCCATGGTCTTCTTCCTGATCTTTACATCATGTCTGGAACAGATTCAACATTTTGGTGTTTGTCCTGCTCAAGCTCCAGAAGCCTGAGGACAAAGCTGAATCTGAACTTAAACTGCAGAATGACATTCTGTTTCTTCATCTGCTAAGTCTTCATTTTTTAGGGAAGTACTCCCCTCATATCCTACATATTTGAGGTTTTTGTGCGAGCATACCTCAGAGATATTGCCAGTTCACTTCCCAACCACCGCAGTAAAGTGAGTTGTGATCTTTTCATTGGTAGAGGAAGTCTTGCCTTCAATTTGTAAAAAATAAAAAACAACAAAAACGTAACACCTGTGAAGTACAATAATACGAGGTATGTCTGCATTTCTTCTAGGGATCAGACTCAGGTGCTACTAGCAGGTACCAGTGACTGCTAATGCCACTTCACTGTTTGTGTCAGTATCACTTCTGCAACTGCTGGGTGCATTTTTCCCCTTTTGATAGATGGAAAGGTAGAGCTCATCCTTCTCTGCCCCTGCTTTCCAACTGCGCCTGCCAGTTTATGGGTAGGCAGGGCAGCCCCTCCTCCTCTTACATCAGATGTGTCAGGCAGTTTCTGGGACTGCTGACAGGGGAGGTAATTTCTTTGGAGAATCTACCTGATGTGTAGGTAAATGGAGTTTTTAAAAATATATACATTCTAGTGACTGTTCATACTGTGAAATAAGAAACCATCACAGTTTAGATTTGTCAGTGGATTGAGATGATGTAGGTCGGTCATTTAGAAATCCTGGGCTTTGGCTCTGTGTCTGTTACTAAGTGCAGTCCTTAGTTTGCCACTGTTTGTAATATGCCTGGGAAATATTTAGAAATTTCTGGTGTTAGATTGTCTGTACATAAATCTGTAGTTCAGCCCTGGCTGGTGTAGCTCAGTGGATTGAGCTCGGGCTGCGAACCAAAGCATCACAGGTTCGATTCCCAGTGGGGCACATGCCTGGGTTGCAGGCCAGGTCCCCAGCAACCGCACATTGATGTTTCTCTCTCTCTTTCTCCCTCCCTTCCCTCTCTAAAAATAAATAAATAAAATCTTTAAAAATAAATAAATAAATAAATAAATCCGTAGTTCACATCTTCTCCACCATTGTAGAAATACGTTTCTTAAAAATATTTAAAGTAGTAGTTATTCTGATGATGTAGGTATTGTAAAACATTAAATCAACTAACCTTCTTTAATGACCTATCTATAGGCTTCCAGGGATGAGTAAAATATTCTCAGATGGCTTCAGAGCCATTTTAAATCTTCCTGTATTAATGACATAAACATATTTGTATGGTGGGCCATAGTCCTGGAGTGTCAGTGGTTGGCAGAATTTTTGTTTTTAAAAAATCCCCAGGATCCTTAGATTTCATTATTATAGGTTGGTCTTAATACCATGTCTTAAATTGTCATTGTACATTTTTAAAAATTGCCTATAGTATTAAAATCGATCTAGTTACACTGTGAAAGATACTATTGAAGGTAAAGATTAAACGTCTTCCCTGTGTTTGGTAATTTTCTATTTTATAAAGTGTTTCATGTGATCTACAGAGTAGAAATTTATGCAGGCAGGAAGGACATTTAAGATGGTAGTTTTGATTTTATTTCTTATTAATTACTGTGAGGTTCTAGTCTTGCTCATTTTCACTAAGGCTGATTATCCTAGAGGAGTGTGCTAAGATGCAGGAGAGCACAGGGGAGTGTGGGGTTGATTCATGGTGCTGCCACCTTCAGACTGTAGCACTGGACAGTTCTTTCAGCCGAGGCTTGCTCTCCTTGTTTCTGTGTGGAGGTTAGTACATTATTTCCTAAGGTTGTTAAAAGTACACATTAAATCATATATGGCACATAATATGTACTTAGTAAACGTTAGATTGTTTTATTTAGATGGGAAATAGCAAATTACCACTTTTGATATTATTGAAAGTATTGATGTTGCCATGGTGATGCTGCTTTTACTAATTGTATCACTCTAGGAAATGTATCCACAAGTGATCCTTAACCCCAGGTCTCAGATGTCTGCATGGTCTTCGAAGTGCTTGGCCACCATCTCCTCAAGTGGATCATCAAGTCCAACTATCAAGGCCTTCCAGTACGTTGTGTGAAGAGCATCATTCGACAGGTGAGGCTCACGAGGGCAGCCCCACACCCAGTATCTAACTGGCTAGACTTTCAACATGAATTCCTGTTTTGTTTTTTTAAAACACACAAGTACATATATACTTTAGTATATATAATTTTTGTTTTTAAACCATAGACATATATATTATAGTACATAACATTTTGAACTCATTAAATCAGTTTTATATTTAATGATATGCCATTCTGTTTTGTAAAGGAAGGAATAAGTAAATATCAGGCACACATTTCTTTGGGCATATTGATCTTTTTAAAGTAGTGATATGGTGTAGTGAAAACTTGTTTTATCCTGTATTATATTATAAAGTGTCCCCCTTCGTTCCTTAGAAACTAATTCAAAAGAAATAAAAAATGTGTGTTTATCTGCTGTTTCTAGATATTGGAAGACAGTAAATGACAGATAATAAGGAATATTTGTTACATAGGGAGTACTACATTAGATTTCTGTTTTGTTCAATTGCTTTGACAAAAGGAAATGTTCAACTGGAGTCTGGTTCAGTACTGATGCTCTAGCAAGTATTTGTAAAATGGAAGTATACATATGTGGAAGGTCTCCTATTTAGAATTTACCAGATTCATCTTTCTGTATGGAATATGTCACTGTATTCCACTCATTGCCCTTACAGCCTAAAATTAGGAATGTTGCAGATAATGACTTATCCTGGGTTACCTATTCTGGTATAATAGGTAATTACTGTGGATTTACCCCTTCAGAGTAATGTATAGATCAAGGAGGTTCTTTGGTTTGCTGGAGAAGAGGACTAAGTGGTTTGGAGCTAGTCCCTTTCCCCCAGGTCTGCATCTCGAACTAGATCTGCCTGAGGGTTCCAGACCTGAAATAGAGGCCTTTGTCCAAAATCTTAAATAGGAAAAGAATCAGGAAATGATTTACAATTGTAAATCCCGAAGGAAGGGGCCTATTAAAGAACCTTCTTAACAATTGTACATAATATTTCCATACATGTGTATAAGTAGGTTTTAAAACCATTTAATAAAATAACTTGATAAAATTTGTTTAATGAAAGCATCCTATATCTTGCTTTTGAAATTGTGTGTAGGTAACTATGTTTATTCAGCCTGTGTATTCATCTCTTTATTTTCTTTCCTTTTATATATTATAAATTGGCGGCTTGTCTTCCAATATTATAGATGATACTTCAGGAGAGGGGTTGGAGACAGAAGGGCTTTCTGCATTGGCCTACTCAGTGAGGTGCTGATATGCAGCATTCTGTTCAGTGCCTGCTCATGCCTACTATAGGCTTCTGGGTAGCTTTTGTTTACTTACATGTCTGTTCCCTTTCAGATTTTGGATAGTAGCATTTTAATTCATTATTTTAACATGGCTAATATCTCATGTAAAAAAAACAATACTTTTCCTTTACAAGATATGTGGTTGGGGGAAAACTAATATGTTGCTTGGAGTTACTTGATCCCCAAATGCCACTTTAGTATTTATATTAGTAGCAACTTTGAAACTATCACCTTGTCAAAACTCTAAAAAAATTCTTAATTATCTTTGATTAAACCCTAAAAATATAAAAAGATTTACATATTATAATAAAAATAAGTAATTTTAGAAATACCATCATGCATATATTTCATACAGGTTCTACTGATATTATTCCCTTGAACCCCTGTACTTTCAAAGATGTTTATTGTAGTCCAAGGTGACTAAGTCACCACAACTTGAGCTCAGCTGTGCAAGAGAATGAATTAGCAGACGAATCATTGATGTATATCTTGTATTCCAAAATGGGGAAACAAAATCTAGCCTTTCTTAACAAGTGTTGGGTTGGCCAAAAAGTTTATTTGGTTTTTTCCCCCATGAAATGCTTTAGTAGCCCTTAGTTGTCTTTAACTTTAAAACAATTTTTTTTAGATTATATTGTGACAGCTGTCATATTAGTGTGTATTTTTAAAAAGAACTTACAATGCTCTGACTGGTGTAGCTCAGTGGATTGAGTGCCACCCTGCAAACTGAAAGGTTGCCAATTCAATTCCCAGTCAGGGCACATGCATGGGTTGTAGACCAGGTCCCCAGCGGGGGATGTGTGAGAAGCAACCACACATTGATGTTTCTCTCCTTTCTCCCTTCGTTCCCCTCTCTCTAAGGATAAATAAATAAAGTCTTTTTAAAAAATAAAAAAGAACTTATCAAAATTGGTGAATTTTTGTGTAACCATTTTAATATTGAAGATGGAAGAAAATATGCAACATTTTGGCATATTGTGTGCTTTCTTATTTCAAGAAAGGTAAAAATGCAACAGAAATGAAAAAAAAGATTTGTGCAGTGTTTGGAGATGGTGTGTGTAACTGAATGAGTCAAAAGTGGTTTGCCAAGTTTCATGCTGGAGATCTGTCACTGGATGATGCTCCACAGTTGCATAGACCAGTTGAAGGTGATAGCCTTCAAATCATATAGACATCAATTGAGAACAGTCAATGTTGTACCACACGGGAGATGCATACATACTCAAAATATCCAAATAAATAAAGTTATTGGTGAAAATGGAAAATGTGTCCTTTACTTTTTGGAAAAAAACATACAGACTTTTTGGGCAACCCAGTAAGAGAGTTGTAAACCTAAAAGTGAAATCTTGGAATCTGATGGAACTTTAATGCATACTTGCTGATTGAAGAAGTGATTTAATGAATGTATTATCCTCCTGTGATTCATGTACAGTGGTTTGGACACTGAAGGGTTCTTGTGCTTTACTGTTCTAGAAAAATTACAAGATGAAATTTTGATTTTATATAGTCTACACTAGTTCTTTTAGAATTTGTGAGAAGTTTTGTTTTAGGCTAAAACCCATCTTTAAGTTTATTTAAGAAAAATACTGTTATGGACTCTGGATATTTTTCCCTAAACTTTTAGCTTCAAAGTGGTAAATTATCATATTTCCCTGTTAATAATCTATGTACCTGAATGTCCCTTTGTTCCCTCTGATTTCAGCTTGTGGGTTTTGTATTTCTGATGCCTGGGTTATTCTGGGAAGATCCTTCATTAATAGACCTTCACAGGTGTGTCCTTTCCTAGAACACAAGACATGGCAGGGCCACCTTTTTAACAGTCTTTCCATGTGCCCCCTTCGCCTTCACAGTCAGGTGTAGCTGACCTCGTGCCCATCATCCCTGTGGCTCTGTTGCCGGCTGTGCTTTTCCAGTCCCTCCTGTGCCACGTCTCTTACACTGATGTTCTCTGTATTGCGGCCACCCTCCTGGGCTTGTAGACTTCTCTGCTCTCCTGGGGTCTGGCCCGACTTCTACTCGCCTGTTTCAGTTCAGTCTCCTTTCCATTGGCAGCTACCTTTCCAAGTGAAATTGTGCTTTAATAATTCATACTCCTCATATAGAAACCTCTAGTGGTTTCCTGTTGCCTGTTGTCTAAAGCTTAACCTTCTTGACTTTCATATAACAATATATGGAGTGATAAAGTCCCTTAGCAAAAGGACTTTGGCCAACTTAGCCTCCTTAGGCCACAATCTCATCATAAATAAATGAGGATAATAAATGTAATATCCTTAATAGATTTTTAAGATGTAAAGGGATCCCCCTATTAATAATTGCAAATATTTATTCAGTGCTTACTGTGTGCCATAGTTCTAAGGACTTTGCAAATTTTAATTCACTGGATTCTCACAGTAAATGCAAAATAGGTATTTTTACTTCCCTGATTTCATGTAAGTAGAACTGAGGCATAGAGGGGTTAAGCTACTTGCCCCTAGTCAGGAATTAACTTAAAGAGTATTAAGTGGTCTAGCAGGAATTCAAACCCAGCTGGTATGGCTTTAAAGTTCATGCTTTTTGCCAAGTGGCGTATAATTTGTTTGAATCATACTTGGCCTATGTTCAATAAGAGTTAAAACTGTTCTTCCTTCTTCTGCCATCTGGTGTCAGCCCAATTTTTCCTTACAAACCCTAGTTCATTTCTTATATCCTGGCAGGCAGATTTTTGTCAATTAATTAATTTTTTAAATAGGTAATACACATAACCGCTCTAAAATATGTCTTTCAGGTACCCAATTTCCGTCCTGGAGTCAACCAAATCACTCATTTCTTACGAATATGCAAAGATGTCCCAAACATTTATAAATACATGCCAGTGTACCAGAATTTTTAGTCATAGATTTTTACTAGTTTTCTTTGGTAGTAAGTATTATAGAGAGAGTACTCACCTTGCTGTTTTTTAGCTCCACATCTTTGATAATTTCTTTTGTCCTAGGCTGCTGAAAATACCGTGCTTTCTTTTCTACCGATGTTTTAGCTAACGAGTCAACCAAAATACCACTTCTGTGAAGAAGGCTTCTCATACTCCCCAGTTAAGAGTGGTGTATTTCCCTCTTCAGGGTGCCTGTGGCCTGCATTTGGTTCTTTCCTAACAATTGCAGGGTCTTACAGGCCAAAGTGTTTCAACCGTGGCACTGTGATGACATTCTGGACCTGATAGTTCTTTATTGTAGGGACCTGTTCTATGATTGTAGGGTGTTTAGCAGCATCTCTGGCCTTACCCACTAGGTGACTGTATCAGCCACCACCACCTCAGTTGTGACAGTTAAAAGTGAGTCTGAACTTTATCAGATGTGCTCAGGAAGGCAAGACCCCCTCTCATTGAGAACCACTAGACATGCCTTAGCAATAGATTTAATTTCATATTCTAACTTTGGCACTTAACTGTTTTTACTTTGTCTCTATGAGTCTGCTTCCTCATTTGTATAATAAGAATGATAATACATAATTTGTGGCTTTCTTGTGGAGATTAATTCTGAGGGACTAGTGTGTGAAGAAGCATCCAGCACTGTGACCAGAACAAGTAGCCATCATGTCTCTCCAGCTGCATCCGGAGCACCTCAGAGTTACAGGTCATGTGTCGTCATTTTCACATCTCTGTCGCTTCTTAAATGAAAGACGAAGTGCATGTTCCTCTTAATCTGACTTTATAGAATGGCTGACCTGTGATTTGACAGGCTTGAAATGTTACCACTT